TTCACAAGTTGACTTCATCTGAGAATGCTGGAATTTGTGGTGTTGTCAGTAAAAGGAAAAAAAAAAAAAGAAAAGTCAATAGAATTGTGGAATTTGAGGTCTGATTAGTGAACTTGTAACCTCTCATGTGATAGCAGCCAAACAAAACACACCTGCCTGCTACACACCACACTGCTATCGGACTCTTTCCCACTCTGTTCTGAGCTGAAGCAGTTTCCAGTGAAGAGCTGGGACTTAGAGCAGTTTGGCATTGTGCAGTGAAACCAGGCTGAGCACCCTGCTGTGGCCTTTCATCTCTCAGCTTACATTATTGAGAAAGCCTGTGGTGTTTTCCTGAAGAGATGATGCAAAGGCAGTTTTACCAACAGTTGCGACAGTGGTGTATTTTCAAGCCCAGTTTGTACCTTTTTTCTCAGAACCTCCAGCTGTTTTTTTTTTTGATCATAACAATAAGACTTTACCACAGTAGAACTTTAGAGTGTGACTTTGTTGGACCACAAGGAGTGATGCTACTAAGCGTCAATCATAATGGCCATTAACAGCCAACATGACAGCCAGATAGTCAGTCAGTGCAGCCAGGCGCCCTTTGAGCTCTTACATTACTACCAGGAAACTGTAGAACTTTACTGAAAGCCAGTGTGACAAAGCAGGTTGCCCTGGCTGCGGGTTATCATAGGATATAGCTGCTATCACTTCTAAAAGCTACCACCAGGGAACCTTTCATACTAATCTTATGAAATATATAACATAACATTATACTCTTGTTTCTGCTGCCACATAGCCAATTTTTCTGGTGTGTGTTGCCAGATTCGTGAAAGTGTAACTGCAACATGAGACGCAAAGGAGCCGGCAGGTCTGCCATAGAGATGCACTGAGTTCTGTGATATGATGGTTTCTGGAAAGTAAACACTGAGAGAGATTCATCATTTGTCTCACTTGAAGCCTTTGAATAAACGTATGGAATATGGACTGAAGCACAGCTGGATGGTTATGGTATATTACTACACTACTACATTTTCGTTTTAAAACGCATCTCTTTTGCTACGTTTTCGCCTCCCGTCCACACAGACTTTTGGAAATGATGACGTAGATACCCCATCGCTCCCTGATTGGTTCTCATCAGCCTCGACTACAACTGGTGAAAGCAATATGATAGTGGAATACAAGTCTTACTGACCTTGTTGTCTTTAATAGCAGATGTAATTCGCTTAAACTCTGCATTTTAACACTGTCTTTGCTGTTCTTGGTGCGTAGCATTTTTTTTTTTTTTTTGCAACTAATTAACTGCAGAGTAAACAATCTGCTTCCTGTTGACACTGGCTCCATGCCACGTGTGCCCGGTGCACGTGATTGCTCATGTATTTATGTGTTTTCAGGTGTGATAGTATGGACGGAGATCGAAAACGCCTTAGTTTTAGGAGTAAAGGAAAGGGAGTTGCTACAGGAAGAAGAGGTTGATTGAAATGTGTAACAAATGCATGTTGAGTAAAAAAGGTTCACTTTATGGTTGTAATTTTCTATGGGTTGCAAGATTATTTAAAAGATACAAAAGTGTTGAAAAACACCAGTTGCGTGTTAAATGGGACGAGTCCAAGCAGAAATGGTTAACAGAGCTCCAGGAGGAGAGCCAGGAAGGTAATAATGTGTAATCTGTTTCCTTCTTTCTTCTGTCTGCTCGCTACTTGTCAGCTTAAGTACTGATTCACCAGTAGAACTAGTTGTTGAGTGACAGAGGAATGTACAGTGATGTGGTGAGCCTTTACTGACTGTTTCCCTGTCCACAGACTCTTCTCTGTACACTGTCATACACATCCCGTCTTCTGTTTCAACCTTGTTGGTAGCACCTGCATTGCTGCTGAACAGATGCCAGATTGCCTTCCCCTCCTCCCCCCAATCTGTCTCCCTCACCCTCCTCTCCTCTCCTCTCCCTCCCTCTCTCTGCAATATCCATCCATTCCCAGGGTGCAAAGCTCCGGCTAACGTTTTTTATCGACCTGCAGCTGTTCCCTTGGGTACACACTGACTTTAATAAACCAAGCAGCACTACATGCATGTCATCTGTTCATCTAAGCACTGAGCCACGGTTAAACAAGACCATTTTTTCATTTTTCTATATATTAATATACTTTGCAAAATATTCTATTTGGTTAGCTTGATAGATACATCCATCAGAGGTGATAGACCAAATTTATGAGTCTACTTAACGTAGTTAATTTTCTCATGCACTAAGGGATCATTAGTTACATTTCAGGTTCACACACATTCAGTTTGGCCTCCAGATGAATTGATTTAGGTAATCTGCATACACTGTTGGTTTGTTTACTCAGTATTATAACTTTTCCACATGATGGTAAAACTACAAAAAAGAGGCCTAAGTTAAATTAAACTGGAAGACACCAACATGATTTTTACCACATTAGTATTTGAGCTGATTTGATTATAGTGATGAAAAATCTTTGTTTTATATTTCTACAGTTACTAGTTTTTGTTAGGTATATTTTTTTTCTGTTGTGTTTTTTTTTTTTTTTTGCAACTTTTGTGCAGCAGAACAAGCTGTATACTGACATATTATCAAGTTGATAGGGCTAATGTGATAGCAGACACAGAGCAACATTGCCACACATTTGGAGTAATGTGAATCACTGAGATCAGCTGCCTAAATGAAGTTGCTGAGAGCAGTGAGATTGGATCAAAACAGTAAAGTTATGGGTCATAAAACCAAAACAATGTGCTTAAAGAAGCAAAAAACTTCCAAGCAGAGGGGAACTGCAGTTAAGTGAAAGAGCGATTCCTTTCACATTACATGCATCATAATTTTACCTCTTGTTAATGCAAAAAAAAAAATGGATTAGAGCTGCTTTGAATTTTCATTTCCCTCCTACAGCTCCTTTGTACTCTAAGCTTTTTCTTTTACGTTAATGGTGTGTCATTAGATTTATATTGGGATGCAATTTAACTTCACTACTTACTTTCAAGGCAAAGTTGAAGTCAGGAATTCAACATGAGTGCCATAAGATGTGTCATTTCACCAACAAAAATGTAAGTTTTGTTTACCTCAGTATTTTAACTGAAGTCGTAAATGGCATGGATGCTGTAGGTGGAAGGTGTCAGTTTTAGTATAACTGAAATTGCCCATCAGCACAAAGCCTTGTTATGAGGCTCTGCGGCCTGAGGGTGATCTGGACCAAACCTGCAGCCTGCCGATAATCCTGAATACAATGCAGTCAAAGCAGGGAGGACAAGAGGGGGTTGAGGGCTGGATGAATCACCTCCATGCTCCAGCAGTGGTGGACAGCTTTCCATTAAAACTTTGACTTCCAGCTTCTCACATCCTCTTCTCATCCTTTCTTCATCCATCAGTGCTTTCATTTCTTACTGTCTTTAGAGTCGACTACTTCTCTGGCATTTTCCTCTCAGGCTTTCCCTTTCTTCTCCTCTCCTCCTCCCACCTCTTGTCATTGCAAGATAAGTAGATACTGTTGACTGCTACTTTGTGGTTTCTCCCTCCTTTTAAAGCTGAATTCTCTTAGCTCCTAATCCTGCACTGCAGTCATTCACTCATTTAAATCTTGAATTACATCAGATTTGGTCCACTTTAGGTTTACTTTATTAGTTTACACATCACCTTTTAAGGCATGTTTCTGTCCTCACTCTTAAACAATAGAGAATGTGATATTTATTTTGCTTTTACATCAGTGCAGTCACTTTTGTTGTTAGCAGTACCAGCACCAGCCCTTCAGGAATAGCAAGGTCATTGGTTGGTCAGTCGGTCTACCATTTTGACTATTGAATGGATTGCCATGAAATCTGATATGAACATTTCATCTAGCAGCATCATCAGGTCAAAATTATTCTGCATCTAGTACTTTGGTTTATGACCTAAGGTATGCAGAACCAATCACCTACCCATTACCCATCACACCATACCCAAGTCTTTATGCTAAGCTAAGCTAATCTTCGAGCTGTTGCTTCATATTTAATGGACAGATGTGAGACTTTCAATGTTATAATCTAAGTCGCCAAGAAAAGCAAATAAACATGTTTCTCAAAATGTTGGAACTGTTCCTTTAAAACTGGAACATTCCCCGCTAAACGTCAACATATTAACATTGTCATTGTGAGCATGTTGCTCGCTGACATTAGCATTGGAACAACCTCAAAGAGCCACTAACGGGCCTTTTTACATCTGGCACCTTGATATCCTGTCGTCCTCCTCCTCAAGCAAAAATTCAGCGTGATTCAATTACCTCTATTTGTCTCCCGGGGCCAATGGAGACCAGGCCCTGGTACAACAGGCAGTGATGCAGCATGTTGTTAAATCTAACAGTCATGCATACACACACAGGAATAGATTTTCCTGCCTGATCAATGTGAGTGTCCCTGTGGTAGCAAAGCGTTAAGCTGATTGCTTGCAGACCTCAGCCTGCATTATTAACCAGTTCAACACACACTGGAGGACCTTTTGGATACACAGTGGGGTGTGTGTGTGTGTGTTAGTGTGCGCCGATAGCTCAGAGCTGCTACCTTATACACACACACACACACACACATACTTACACACAAAACCTGTAGGTCAATCAGCTGATAGTTGGCCTCGTGTTAAAGTGCTCTGTGGCCTCAGCTGTAACAGACTGACTGTCACATGACCTGCTCTTTCTATAGGCCTGCATCACGCTGCCAGTGGTGGAGCAGAAACCACACACTCATTAGACACCAGCTGACAAATGCTCAGAGGCCATAAGAACACAAGGTTGTCAAGACGTTTCTGTGTGACTTAATGTGGATGTACAAGCCCTCCCTCTTGTTTTCTCTTCACTCTGTCTGTGTGTAGATGCCGTGTACACGTCATTGCCGCCAGCCATGTGAAACTAAATATAGCCTGAATGAAACTGACCTCAAAAGCGTGTTGATGGTGTCCCTGTAACACTGTTGTAATTAGACCTACAGTTTTAGTTTTACGACCATTTGTCTAAATCATCTGTCGTCATTTCTGTTGTCAGGAATATGAAACAAAGAGTGGCAGAGCTGGACCTGGCAACCCAACGTCTCCCAGGCAGAGTGTGAGGAAAAACCTGGACTTTGAGCCGCTCTCCACCACTGCTCTTATACTGGAGGACAGACCTGCGTATGTCAACACACACACACACACACACACACACACACTGTCTTTGATCTCTGACTGTCCCACATTTTTCATTCTCTTTCACTGCGAGTGGAGCTTTTAAAAACATTTTTTATCAGAAAATAAAGCCATGTCTGTTTTCTTTCTGTCTCCATCGTCCCCTCATTCTTTCTTTATCAGCCCTCCCTCCTCTGCTGGGTCATTAGACTCCGTTCAGTATTGTTCCGGCTCTCGCTGCGTCCCCTGTTTGTCGAACAGTCGGTAAAAGAGAAGTGCTGCTGAAAGATTAATGGTCCTCCCTCGGCCTGTCTCCATTACCCTGCTTTTCGGCTGGACCGGCCACAGGCCAGCACAACAGCGGCAAATGTCTGCGACTGACTGACTGAGTGATAGAGTTGAGCGAGTGATAATGTAACACCATTGGTTAGCCAAGTGTTTAACTTTGTCATTGGCCGTTCTTTCAAAATGATTCGGTGCAAACATTTTCTAACCCGTCATCAGGGATTACAGTGGCTCCACAACAGTTTTCAACTACTGTGCTTCTTCAAATAGTGACAGAGCCTTTATTTACCTCAACTACAGGTACTGTACTACAGGTTTGATGTTATAATTGGTCAAACACATATTTTGGTTGGAAGCCTCGTTTTCATTCACTCCTGTTTGCCCTGTTAGTTACTGCCGGTTTCACTTAGAAGGAGAAACTTCATCTTTTGGCTCATCAGCATCATCATCAGCATCATCTTTAGCGTCATGACACTGAAAAGACTGAAGAAACTGAGTCTATTCTATTGTAAGACAAACAGCAGCTGCCAGAAGCAGCTCAGGCTGACACTGACTGTCCTTTCACCTGTTCGGTTGGTTGGTTGTTTGTGATACTCTCTCTACATTTTTAATTCTTTTTACTTTTTCTTGAAATATTATAACTTTTTTCTCATAAAATTACAACTTAATTCTCGTTTATAACATAAGACCAAAACTAAACAGCCAGGTTTTCACAAAATAAACATTTAGTTTTTAACCGTTGGTCGGAGAACGACGGAACAGGGAAAGTTAGATAAGTTAACACCCTCCTTCACGCAGCAAAGAGTAACAGCGCGCCCACACACTGGCCCTGGCTGAGCTCCCTCTCTGCACTTTTGTACTCCCACTGATCAGTGAGTGGAAGCAGCTGTGAGCACCTAACCTGCTCCACCCGAGGAGGAGCGACACCTGGAGCGGAACAACACAAAACGCAATCCCACCGCGCCAGAGCCGTCACAAATACAACACAGTGGCATGATAATAAATGCAGTAAATGGGTCCAACACGTTGTGTAACCACTGGATGATGCAGCTGTGTTACATGTACAGCACAGTGTAGAGTTCAGTCCATAAACACAAGTTACAAGACCAAAGTCAGGGAAGGGCTCCTGTCCTGTTGTTCTCTGTATGTTTTCCTCCCTTCATGCCACAGAAACATGCTCAACATGAATAATGCAAGTTAAGCTCAAAGAACAGATCGCTGCTAAGCCATGTATTTATGTGCATGTATGTGTGTTACAGTAATCTGCCTGCCAAGCCAGCTGAGGAGGCTCAGAAACACAGACAGCAGTATGAAGAGATGGTGGCCCAGGCCAAGAAGAGAGGTGAGGATCAATGATCTCTTACTGTCCTTTTCCAGAGTGTAAGCTCATCCCTGGAGCTCAGGGATTCACCACAGCTACAAACAAAGGATCAGGAACCTGAATCTGTCCCTGTCCGTCTCTTAGCCTGGTTTCTCTGTTTTTGTATCTGACCCACCTCTCTTCACCCCCCCCCTGTCTGTAGAGTTGAAGGAGGCTCAGAAGAGGAAGAAGCAGCTGGAGGATCGGTGTAAGCTCGAGGAGAGTATCGGCTCAGCTGCCCAGACCTGGAACCAGGAGATCTTACCAAACTGGAGTACGATGTGAGTACAGACACTGTCACGGAGCTTAGAAGTATAACAAGGCTGATGTTCAAAGTGTTTGTAACCTTTTCTTCAAATACACCCAACTTCTTTGTACTGATGAATCCCATCTCTGTATCGACAGTGAACAGTCAGTGCTTTAAACAAAGAACAGCAGCTTCATGTTGTTTCAAAACCTCTTTTGTCGCATTATCTAAACCCAGTGGAGGAAATCTGTTCTGTTTGGCAGATATTCAAATGATCTGAGTTTTTACGCATCAGTGCATCTCCCTCTCTTGTTTTGTATTATATTTTGAAGACTGAACTTGTTGAGGGAAAGGAGCCAGGAAGTGCTTCATGTCAGATTAAATTCAGTCAAGTTCCCTCACTGACTCGGCAATTAACTGTATGAACTGGGTCATTTTAAATTCATTTGGATTTGCTAAGTTACAATATGCTTATTGTTTTCTGTGGGTGTATGAGAGAACCACTTTCCAGACCAACCAAAAGTATAAAATAACTATTTGCACACATTTAAATGCAACAATCATCCCCATCACTGGGAAAAAAAACGATTATAGCGATTAATTACCCGCCCCAGAAAAAGACAGACCTCAACACCAGAGATGCCACTGCTCTAATGTTTAATGCTTAGTGTAGAAATAACCAGTCACAGATTCCTTATCAGTAACTAACACATGCCCAGATTTATGCTGATAAACATGAAACTCTGGCAAACTTACAAGGACATTATAACATTGTTGTATGTGACTGTACATCTCTGCAGTGTATGCAGCAGTATATATTGGCATACACTTAGCCCTGAATGCTCAGGCTCTCATTTCATTACATTAAATTTATATACGTATGTATAAGTGTGATGCCCTGAGCATAAAGTTTATAACATGGTCAGTATCTCAGTATCCATTAAATCATCTGTAAAATGGTGACCAGGATATTACAACCAGGGAGAATGCTAATTGTCTGTCCCCTGTATATCTGATCATCATTAAATGTCTGTTTAGCATTCATTGTGATGTCACAGTCGCCATATTGTGAGCACATACTGAGCAGCTGCTGTAGACCAGCAACTCAGTCATGTGTTGACATAATGATTAATTATCAGATTGATAAAACACACCCTGTCTTACAAGCATGGCTGCCTCATTCCAGCATGTTGATTTTAATTAATCTCCATGTCGGTACCTTTGTCCTAGACGTGCATTCTGGTCATATTCCAAATACTGCCACTCCCACTGGCTGTAAGAGCTTGAACTAAGATAATTACTTGATTTCCAAACATGAAAATTGTTTTAAAATGTTGCTTATGCCATCTTTCTTTACTATTTCTCTTTAATGTACAGTATGTCACAATCTCCAAAAGGCCCTTCAACCACTAGGAGACTTGTTGTATCACTGATGCTGAGCACTACACCACAGGCCACATGTGCTAATATGAACCTACCCTGATTGTTTTTGTTCACTGATGTCTAATACACACTAGAAGACTTTGAAGAGACTTTGAAAAGACTAACGTCTGAAACCCTCTCACATTTAAAGATAATGTGTCATAAGTCAGAGTTTTTAGTCTCACACTATAAGATTTTGTAAAGCCTGGGAATCTTCTAAAATTACTGTTTTGCCTTTGCATTTATGATTTGATCTCACATTCTTGTGCCTCCAGTTGCCTAAATGATAATTATCAGCTCAGTTTGCTGCTTCCTGTTTGGTGCTGGAGAAGATGACAGTGTTCACGTCATTGAGTTTCACTATCTGCATCAGCCAAGACTGAAATCTATGGATGATATTTAACATGTTTGATTTTATCGGAACATCAAAGACTGACTTTAAGACAGCTCGGATGATCACCTGACACCAAACGATCGAGATGACGAGAGAGCGCCACAACTCTAGTAAAAGTTTCATGATTTTATTTCAACACTGGAAATTAGTCTGTGATGGTGAAATCAAAATGAAATGACGTTTGGTGGAAGACAGACATGTACGACAGAATGTTGGGTCTCATTGAGGGAAAAAAAGAAATTTAAAATTTTGAGAATAAAGTCATAATATTAAAAGAATGAATTCAAAATTTTACAAGAATTCAAAATGTAAAATTTCAAGAGAGAAAATTTTTTTATTTACATCAACGAAGTGAAAGGACAGTCAGTGTCAGCCTGAGCTGCTTCTGGCAGCTGCTGCTTGTCTGTCTAACAATAGAACAGACTCAGTTTCTTCACTATCTTTTCAATATCCTGAGGCTGATGATGATGATGCTAATGAGCCAAAAGAAGAAGTTTCTACTTATTAGTGAAACCTGTGCTAAAGTAGAACTTCACAGGATGCTCCACGTTCCTCATTTTAAAGCTTCTGATATTTCCCCTCTAAAACAACACACTTACTACGACTTTTTTTCCTGAAATATTATGAATTTATTCTCGAAATTTCAGTTTTTCTCAATGTGGCCGTAATACTCGTCATAAACATGAGGTGCCTTTTACACTACAAATAGCACATGATGAGTTAGAGGGGCATGTATGAGTTGGATATATGGATGTATGGGTTCAGGATCTGTTTTGCTCTGAAGGAAAGAGTAGAAAAGACTGCCACCTTGTGGTTCCAATCGATAACTGAAAGTTTCCTTAATGAAACACGATTGTTGAGCGGCCTCATAACCTTCTTCCCACATGTAACCCTCTTCCAGGTGCACATCTCGACGAGTGAGAGACCTCTGGTGGCAGGGCATCCCCCCCAGCGTCAGGGGCAAAGTGTGGAGCCTGGCTGTGGGGAACGAGCTCAACATCACACACGGTACATGGGAGTGAATGTGTATCTCAGATTGAATGAGAGAATGAGAGGAAATGTCACATAAGGTCTGTTACCATAGCGACATCAACAGCTGTAGCTGTACTTGACCTGTGATGGTCATGCTCCGTTACCAGTCTGCTCTTAAAAAAAAAAAAAAAAAATCAATCATACACCGGTTCATTCATCATGATAGTCGCGTACAGGCTAAGTCCACATGCACACAGACGGGTGTAGCAGTTTGCCTCGGTGTTTGTAATTGAATAAGTGGCAGGGAGATGGATAGAAGGAGGAGGAAGAGTGTGTCCATTAAGAAGGAGCACGGTCCAGTGAGTCCCACGGTACAAGACGGAACAAGCAGCATTTCAATGAGTTCTCTTGAGTGTGGCTTGAGATTACACCCACACACTCCAGATTCATTTTCCACTTGCTAAAGGAGCACCGACTTCAAATTGGCAGCCCCTACACTCTGTGTGTCTCTGCTCCTCTGGGCTACTTATAGATAAGCACTTGCTCACTAACTGCTGAGCTGGCTGTACTTTTGCTCCTCAGCCTTTTAAATGGAGCACATTGCTAATGCATTATCACTCTGCGTGCACACACACACACACACACACACACATTCATACAGAGCTCAGTCCTTTCAAAGCTGTCTGTCTTTTATAAGTAGCAGCTAAGTGACTGTATTGCCCCACTTTAGATGAAAAGTGTCTTATTGCTTATGCTACTGTGAGGATTTCTGTTATTGCTCTTATTGTTATTGTTACTGCCACAACTGCTTCTGATGCTCCTGGTGGCTACTATTACTGCTGCATTATGGGACAGAAGTGTAATAAAAGTTAGGGTTGGGAAGCTGTGGGAATCTCAGACTCAGAATCGATTCCCAAATCAAAACTGATTGTTGATTTGATAAGTAGAAAGCAGAGGGCCACTGACTTGTGTCCTTTATAATCTGCTGTTCACAAATGTGTTTAAATCTATGTTAGTGGGCATTTTCTTGATCCATCTGACAGGTGTGGCATATCAAGATTCTGATTATTGCACAGGCGTGTCTTGGGCTGGTCACAATAAAAGGCCACTTTAAAATGTGCAGTTTAATTGTGAAAAAAAAAAAGACATCTGTTAGTCCCTGGACTGTGTGACTTGGGGGGAGGAGGAGAGTCGCGGATCAGAAAACCAGTCAGTATCGTGTGACCACCGTTTGCCTCATGCAGTGTGACACGTGGCTGTGTGAAGTCGCTGGATGTTGGCAGGAACTGGAACACGCTGTCGTACACGCAGATCCAGAGCGTCGAAAACATGCTCAGTGGGTGACGTGTGGTGAGTGTGCGGCACACGCAGGAACTGGCATGTTTTAAGCTGCCGGGGATTGTGTACAGATCCTTGCAACATGAGGCGATGGCAGCAGATGAATCGTTACATGTGGTCTTCAGTTGTGATGCCAGTTGGATGTGCTGCCAGACGTTTGGAGATTCCATTGGAGGCGTCTTATGATCCTGAAATGACCTTTCACTTCATGGCCCGCAGCTCTGATGGACGTTCAACATGCCAAATGAACACTCCCTCAAAACATGCAACTTCTGCGGCACCGTGTTGTGTGATAAAACTGCTTATTGTGACCAGCTCCAGGTACGCCTGTGCAGTAATCATGCTGTGTAATCAGCATCTTGAGATGTCACACCCGTCAGGTGGATGGATGATCTTGCTCACTAACACAGATTTAAACACATTTGTGAACAAATTTAAGAGAAATGAGTCTTTTGTGTGTATTGAAAAAAGTTTTGATCTTTCATCTCATGAGAAATGGGAGCATTTATATATATATTTATATATTTATATATATATATGCATTTATTTAAAAGCAGGTTCAGTGTTCTCTATGTGAGAATAACAACATCTTGGTCTGTGTGTTCTGGAGTAAGGAGGGTCAAAATGAAAAAAGCCTCTCAGTCAGCTCCAATCAGCCTGGCCATTCTCCTGTGACCTCACTTGTATTTTTCTCTCCATCTGCAGAGCTGCTGCTCACTGGATGTTTTTTTTTTTTGTTTTTTTTTTCGCACCAACTGTTGCATGAAAATCCCAGGAGATCATCACTTTCAGTAATACTCAAACCAGCCTCAATCGTGCCACAGTCAAAGTCCCTGAGATCACATTTTTCTGATGTTTGATGTGACAGTTGACTGAAACTCCTGACCTATATCCGCATGATTTTTATTCATCGCTAGCACACGATTGGCTGATTGGAAAAAATTGTGTGGATAAGCAGGTGTACAGGAGTTCCTAATAAAGTGCTCACAGAGTGTATAACAGTGTATCTTTACATTAGTCCGACAGTTCTCAGTTCAGCTCCTTGCAAGCCGCCTGCGTGGCGTCTAGTTTCTCTGAAGAGGATATTAATCAGCTGAACAAGGTCGAGGCTCCACATCGTGTCTCACAAAGCTCATTATTTCCGTCCTGCATCTCATCACTAGAGGGCAGCCACAGGTCAGAGCACACGCTGGGGCTGCAACAAAAATAAATGTCTTCTGAAATGGCAGGAGAAATGTTTCCTTTAATCACCTTTAGTGTTACAGTTACAGAGTCCTTTCATCGCCTGACGTTGTTCCTGTCCAGTCATCATGTTCTCTGTCTTCCCCCTCTTGTCTTATATCGACTGGTGCTGCGATGGGTCTCTGCAGAGCTGTATAACATCTGCCTGTCCCGGGCCAAAGAGAAATGGAAGAACACACCGGCATCTGCCCCAGAGATTGAAACTGAAGGTAGAGACAGAATGGAAACTCTTACTTTAATTTTGTCCATTATGTAGTCACACAGTTGTCAGTTGTGTATTTCTTATTGTGCTGCCGTGTCTTCATGTCAGATGCTGGTTCTTCAGACAGGGAGTCGAGCCTGGAGCTGATCAAGCTGGACATCTCCAGAACTTTCCCCCAGCTGTGTATCTTCCAGCAGGTCAGTGAGAGAAGCTCAGCCACCACTGACAGCACTTTGATTATGGCAAACCCTTTTCTTTAAATGTGTTCCCATTGCAGAACGCAGATGATGGCATACACCAAAGAAAACACCAAAGATATTAAAACCATGACATTAATCTGATGAAGTTGGTGCATGTGTATTTTTGGCCTACTTGTTCCTTTGTCTTCATTATTCCTTTGTTCATCATCAGGGCGGGCCCTATCACGATGTGCTGCACAGCATTCTGGGAGCCTACACTTGTTACCGGCCAGATGTTGGCTACGTAAGTCTCACACACACATACACACACACACACGCAGCATGCTTATTTCCCATAAACACAAGTCAAGACCGTCTGAGTGTTGGTTTATGGTTTTCATGCATGTGTAAAATGCGTGTGACTCTTTATATGTGGTGTGTGTTTTTGTTTTTGTGCTGATATGAAATTACAAACATTACACAACATGTTGCACGCTGGTAAACAGCCTGTAGTACAGTAGCAGTCGTGAATAATACCCTGTGAACTTTGAGGTGTTTTACAGTCGCACCCGTTTGGTTTTTGTGAAGGTTAAAGGTGACACATCATGGAGTTAAATTTCTCACCATCACCTACGAAATGTATTATTATAACCACAGTTCGACTGCGGTCGGGATGACTGACAGATTTCCACTGTCAGGCATCTACCAGGTGGGAGGGGCTCAGTGTGTGGGATGTATGAGACGACTATATTCTCTAAGCCTGTGTGAGACATTAGGCCCCAGCTAGTGGGACACCAACAGGAGGTTTAAAAGCAGAATGGAGGAACAGTGGCATCTGTTTTCTTCTGTGCGATTCACATAATAAGGAGGGTTTCTTTCTATGTTGAAAACTAATGTGATTCTGTAAAGTTTTTGGTCACGGAGCTGAAACAGTAACAGTGTGTATGTACTGTACTTGGACTTATCCGAAAATGACCTGCCTTTATTTTTAGCTAGAACACACGGCTCAACAGCAACAGGCTCGATATTAAAACTGTTCCCAGATCCACGGGATTAAAACAGGCATCATCATTGTGTCTTGTATCAGACGGTGAGCTGACCCTCCTTCTCCATCAGGCGAGATCAACACTGCTATCTGTTCATTTACGAAGGGCTACTCCAGAAAATGACCTCCTTATCTATCATCACCCCTGTGCCCAGGACCTTCTACTTTTAATACACTGACTTACACGTTCCTGCAGTAGATACTTATCTTGGCAGGACGGGCCTTCAGATATCGCGCCCCATTTGTTTGGAATAACTTACAGAACAGACTGAAACTCGGCACACTGATACCAGAAATTAGATTAGAAGTCTGACTGACTTGGGGCGTAATTTTTTTACTGAATCTCTTTTCTAACTCGCACTTATGAGTGAGTTTTCACCTTATTGTCTCCCTGGTACACAATGGTATACGTTTAAATAATAACTCTGATCACTGTTTATATAAACACACTTCCACTTGTTTGTATTAATACATATCTGAATGTATATTTAAATCATTGAAAATTTGTATTTCTGCAATTAATATTGCTTTTTGTTATTTACTTATTTTTCTGTTCTCAGGTCTCACTTGTAAATTAGATCTAGATCTCAAAGTGACATCCTGATTAAATAAAGTATAGATAATAAATAAAAAGATTTGATCAAGTCAGCTTAGATATTTGGCCTCAGAGCATGGGGAGGTAAAATCCAACTGAGAAAGTTGATAAAGGTAGCCACTAAGATTGTTACGTGAATCGATGACAGCAACTGCTTTATCATTTTTAACTTCTTTTTCCTCTTGTAAATTTTTTTACTAACTGTTTTTTACTTTCTGTTTCTGCTTTTGTTTTAATTTCCTCATGTGTTCTACTCTTTCTAATGATATATTTCTGGCTTTCTGTGCTGAATTTCCCATAAAGAAGAATAAAGACTAACCCAAAAAAACTGCATTCAGCTGACAGACAGAGTAAACGTAGAAGGCTGTCACTTCACATTTCACATCGGGTTGAGTTCTCTGGTCTGCAGACATGGAATAGACTAGTCATCTCTTCACCTCTGTCAGTCAGAAATTACAGTTTGTAGTTTCTCCCCTTGAAAACCACAACTTGTCACTTTTACATTACTGTTGGTGTAAAGATGACACAAACACAAACATGCTACATGTTAGTGAGCTTTGGAGGGGCGGTACCGGAGGTCACCTTTTTCCCTTCGGCTAAGTGTTTCCCTGTGCTTCCAGTCTCTCTGCTCCAGCTCTTTAGTTAATGCACAGACAAAACTGATCATCAATCATCTTATCTCCAAGCATTACGTTTCGTATTGTTGTAAGAACTAAACACTGATATTAATGCATTAATCGGTATTGATGTTAATACATCACATGTGCTCAGAGTGGTGGTTGTGGTAAATATTTATTTTGCTGCACACACGAAGCTGCACACATCCTCATACACGGTCAGTCATGAGCTTCAGTTCCCTCCTCTGTGTAGGTGTGATTATTCCCAGTTAAACCTCAACATCTTTTCCTTCCATTTGTGCTTCTCTTCCCTCCGAGGAGATTTACTAATCATGTGCCTCCGTTCCTCTGCATGACTCATCGCTGTCTGTTCTCAGACTCACGATGCACACTGATGTCCTGACCCTCTTTATGTCTGACGCTATCTCCTGATATTTCATATATTTTAAACCAGACTGTGGAGATTGAAGCACAAATTAGATTTTTTTTTTTTTCTTTTTTTTTTTTTTTTTTTTTAAAAGTCACCTGCCGGTTCAACCAATTCAAAATTTTCTAATTATTCTGTGGCAATAGAAAAAGTGACTTGATGTTTTCAATACACTGTGCTGTTACACTGAACTCATGTTTGCACTTCAGAGCCACACTGTGCTTGTTGTAGATGCTGTGGTTTGCCTTTCTGCTCCTCACCACAGCCCCATGCTATCTATACTAGTCTATAAATGACTGTGACTTCCTGCACTGACCCCAACCTCTGAGCTGTTCACAAACACAGTCTTTGCACTCACCTCTGCACAGGTTTTTTTTTTTTTTTTTTTTTTTTCTTCTTCTGCCTGTGTCAGCATTTCATCTCTCTTACCAGGTTAATCGTCCAAACTGAAGCTGAGCTACAGTTTAACATTAGTTTTCCACAGCATACTCATTTCCTGCCAGTGTCTTTCTCTGCCCCCTCTTTCAGAGACTTGACATATTAACACTACTTTCTACATAGAAGTTGTCGTTTTAACAGTGTACTTTATTCTGTGTGATTGCATGTGTAGGTGCAGGGAATGTCGTTCATCGCAGCAGTGCTGATCCTGAACCTGGACACAGCTGATGCCTTTATAGCTTTTGCCAACCTGCTCAACAAGCCCTGTCAGATGGCCTTCTTCAGAGTGGACCACAGCCTTGTCAGTATATACTCTCACTCTTCCAGACTCCCACCATCGACACTTGAAATGTTCACACCCATGCACTAACAGTCAATGACTTTTAGAATTATTATAGTTTGAGACCAGATCAGATTGTTCTGTATTGTTTTTACATTTAAAGTTTAGTTTTTAGTTTAGAAGTTACAATAAAATATTACGTGTAAAAAAAAAAAAATAATAATAATAATTAATTGTGTAATTATCCTCCCCATCATTTCAAAAAGTCATTAAAAACTTATTACATAAAATGAAAAATAATAAGTCTAGAATATTTTTTATTAAGTTATTAAAGAAGATGACAATGTACTTTGTGAATTCCAGAGATGAGGACTTTTTTTTTTTTTTTTAAATTTTGATTTAAAAATAAAAAAATAAAAAAATTGATGATTGAAAAATATGTATTTAGTGAGTGTGAAAGTTCATTTTTGACCTCGGGAACTGTGTGCACAGCCATATTATATTTAGATTAGGATTTAGATGAGGAGAAAATGCACACTGGATTAAAGCTCTCTAAATGTTATTGGACAGTGTTTCCACCTCAGACCTGATAAACACGCTGTAGTCAAATGATCAAACCAAGAATAAAATGATATAATATGACCCTCCAGATTTTGTTCAGTGCATTCTAAACATTTTTTATCACATTTTTACACATCTGCTCTTTAACTGACACCATCCTTTTTTCCCCAACTAATAATTATTTTCATTATAAATTAAGCTGTTGATTATTTTCTCGATTAATGGTTCAGTTTAGAAATGGCAGAAAAGAGCTTGAAGATTATTTTGCAATTAATTTCATAGAAATGATTTAAAATAATATTTCATATTATTTATATAATACTATCCTATTTGTTGATAATACTATCCAAAAATTGTTGCTCTGATTTGAATGAATTTGTCACTAAGTGAAACCTTTTCACACTCTTATTTTCTGACATGTTGACACAACAGAAATCACACACAGTCTTGACCGGCCAAAACATCCCATCATCCTCTGTGCTGCCTGTTTACATTTCACTTTCTTCACCATCGTCCATTTCTACAAATGACTCACCCTGTGCCCTGCTGATGAAACATGTGGTTTGTGTTTATGTTGCTGCATAAGAACCTTGTTTCCTCTCTGCAGATGTTGACGTACTTTGCGGCATTTGAAGTGTTCTTTGAAGAAAATCTACCAAAGCTCTTTGCACATTTCAAGAAAAACAACCTGACCCCCGATATTTATTTAATCGACTGGTGAGTCTCAAGCTCATACACCTTCATTTCTTTCTATTGAGCGTTCTTTATTTTTTTCCATCTCAACTTCACCCTACTTGCCATTATATCATTTCACGGCTAGAACGTGACCTATACACTATATAAAGCCAGAATATCAGACTGCGCGGAGAGAACGCTTTGTTCTCCGTCCTGGTGAAAACTCGTTTACATTTCGTCATCTGGAAACATGATTGGTGTCACATTGAACTTGTCACAGTTTCAGTGTCAGCTGTGTTTCTGAGAAAATAGGACGGTCTGTCTGTGCAGGCGGGGGTGTCACCGATCTCTGCCCACCTCAAATGGAAATTTCTAGATTTCTATATTTACTCATCTTTCACTTATATCACTCACACCCATACATATGAAGGGAGGGGGAGGCAGGGGCAATACAGCACATACAGAGAGTATTCAGAGTCCTTCACTTTTTCCATATGTTGGTATGTTGCAGTTTTATGCTAAAATCATTTGAATAATTTTTTTTCCCTCATCAATCTACACTCAAAAACTGAAACATCACTTTCACAAATATTTCGACTCTTCACGACACTTGAGATTTAGATCAGTCCCTCCGTCTATAAAAAAGAAAATAGTGAAAGTGTTGATTTGTAGATCGGATGGGGTCCTCGTTAAATGTCCGGAAATATGTGAGACGAGGAGGAGCAGCAGATTCTTACATCTGAGAAACTGAAACTATCAAACGTTTTAAAATTAGCATGAAAAAATGACGTTAATGATTTACCAGATTCCTGAAATAACTGTCCATCCATTTTCTGTGCATTGATTTATCAATTAATCGAATTAATAACTATTCCACATGTTGGAATCCGTAAGAATCCATAGGTCAGGTGTGGTGGTGGTGGTGGTGGTGGTGGTGGTGGTGGTGAGTGTATTTGTGGCCTCACTACCTGGAGGACAGTCAGAGTAATGAGCAGTGCTGTTTATTTATATTCATTCACACATTCATTTTCTCCAGACAGGACGACTGTGTCTCCCTTCTCTCTGGTGTAAAGCAAAAGTCACTGTCCGACTGCTTCAGAACACAGCAGCTTTAACAGAGCACCTCACGTCACCCTCGGGCCCCGCTTCCACCCATTGTCTCCCTGTTTGTTTTAGAACTGATTTTAAGATTTTACTGATCCCTTTCAAAGCATGCCGGGGCCCCGAGCTTCATTACAGAATAATTAACCCCATACCAGCCGGTACGCAGCCTTAGATCCCCGGGCAGGTCCCTCTGGCCGTCCCAAAGTCGAGGCTTAATTCTAAAGGCGGTAAAAGCGCTTTTGCCATCAGGACCCCTCGGCTTTGGTCCGACCTGCCGGAGGAGATGAGGCACAATCAGTGACTTCTTTTAAATCTCTTCTTAGAACTCATTTTTATATTTTTATGTTTGTGTCTTTTTAAGTGTCTCCATATCGCCCTTTTATTGCTTTTAGTGTGTGTGTGTGTGTGTGTGTGTGTGTGTGTGTGTGTGTGTGTTTTATACGTTATCTGCTCCCCCTAATTGTCTGTGTTTCTATTGAATTACATTGTTTGTCCTCCCTGTTTGTCCTGATTTTTCTATCATCATAAAACCAATAGTCACTGTTCCTGTCTCTCTTCCCTCCCTCTGCCCCCCCCCCCCCCCCCCCCCCTCTCCAAATCAACAGGATCTTCACTCTGTACAGTAAGTCTCTGCCGTTGGACCTGGCATGTCGGGTGTGGGACGTGTTCTGCAGAGACGGCGAGGAGTTCCTCTTCCGCACGGCGCTGGGCCTGCTGCGTCTCTACCAGGACGTCCTGACCTGCATGGACTTCATTCACATGGCTCAGTTCCTCACACGCCTGCCCGACCTCATCCCCGCCGAGCAGCTCTTCCAGCACATCGCCTCTGTTCACATGACCAGCCGCAACAGGAAGTGGGCACAGGTGGGATGTTAGAGTTCAGGCTTCCTGGTCAGGGGTGTGTCTTTACATCTTGTTTTCTAACTGTGTCTGTCCGCACCTCCTCAGGTCCTGCAGGCGCTACAGAAAGATCAGGAGCGAGGCAGCCCAGTGCTGAAGCGCTGAGCTGAGATCAGAGGAAACCTTCACACACTAACAGACTGGACCAACTCCCCTCCAGCCTTTTGGGAAAAACCTGGAGGCTCACCACGCTGGATGGACATGAAAGAGACCTGTGTTCCACCTGGGGACATGTCTGGTCGTAGCTGCTATGATAAACCTCTTCTCCAGTTCAGTGTCACCGCTCTGACTAGAATCGGGGACCCTGGAGGGGGTCTGTCAGTGAAGAGGCAGGGGTGTGAAAAGGAATATGAGGCCTTATTTAACCCCCACCACCCCTCCTCTGCTCAGAGGCCCAGCAGTGGATTGGAAACTGTAGCTGGCAGAGGCTAAAGAATGTATCACACAAGCCCACATACATGCACCGAGCAGACGGTTTCTGGTCTCCACAGACCAGGGGAGACCAGAGATACCAGTTACTCCTCAAATCCTCTGCTCAGTTTTTAATTCTCTCTGGCTACAGTTCCAGCTGTCTTTCCTTTTTTTTTTTTTTTGTTTTTTCCAAACTTATCTTAAAATTTTGATGACAGAGACAACAGTCGACTCCCTGATCTTTAAAAAGAAATAATAGTCAGGGAAAGCAAAGGTTAAACATCTCCAGAATCAGATCTGTGAGTGACGTGTTTGAATCCTGTCATTCTCTCTCTTTTTGCACCTTTTCTTTTTCTTTTTTTTTTTTCTTTCAAAACTTGAGTCATTCCTTTGTGTCCTATATGAGTTTGATTTCGTCTGTGTGCTTTTCATTTTCCAGCCGGGGCACATTTGTTTTCCTGAACCTTTCTATGAAGTCAAACACGAGTTTAGTGAGTTCAAATCCTTGAAGACAAGTTTGGTGTCTTTGAAAGCACCACGCTGTTACATACGATGAAATGTTTCAACCCTCTAAAAAGAGGTGATAAGCTGCCTGTAAAATGAGTTTTACAGTGTATTTATGAAGAGTAAATAATGAGATAACGTGTTACTGTTCGACACAGGACATACAGTGTCAGACATGGACGTCCCCCTGCCCTTAATATGTTTGAGGTACATTTCAGCTTGTGAGTGTTTTGATTCCTAATGTCTTGATGTGAGTGTTGATGTCTTTTGTGCGTTTATTTAATATTTATCAAAAGGATGACGGGATACAAATAAAACTTGTTCCACTGACATTTAGGGTCGTCTCCTCACCCGAACTTGTTTTCAGATCGCGTGTATACTTGATTTTAACCAAACGTACGAGGTTGTGAGGCATCTGGATCACATCTGGGCAAAAAGAGAACATCTTCCCCAACATCTTGTTGCCATGGAGATGGCAGCAGAAAGCTGGAGCAGTTTCAACAGTCTGCCGTCGGCTGGACATGTAGCATTAATGTCGAATGACGCACACAACCAACGTTCTGAAGCATCGCTTTGTTCTGTGCTCACACACAGACAAACCTGGACTCAGTACATATTGACATACACATATTGACAAATTAGCACTAATAAAAGCTGAATTCGCCATTAAGACATTTACAGTGTACCTGTACATGGACGTACAGACAGCCATTACTGGATTATTACAGTACTGAAGAAAAAAAATGAACAATAAGACGGTTCTCAGGCGAGTTCATGAGGTGTAAACAGATTTGTGGATGTTTTATTTGCTATAAAAGTCAGAAAGAATATCTTCAGGAAGTGTGACTGTAGCATGTCCAGCCTTCAGCACCATGAATTACACCTAATTTCCCATCACTCTTTGTTTGCCTGAAAAAAAAAAACACCTAAACAACCACCAGTCCCAGCAAAAGCAAGAACGGGTGCGGAGACAATATTTAAAAAAAAAAAAAAAAGGGTTTATGTTGTTCATTCTGAACATCCTGTCATGCAGAGCGTACGTGCGTGCCAGTTCTCACCTGGGCCTTAACCTGTCACCTCTCTGGCTTTGTGGCTGTTTGAGGTTGTCGGTGCGTCGGCTCCCCGACTTTCACACCGTGGTTAAAGTGTCGTTCCGTCCTGACCGGTCGCCAAGTCATTACGTAACAACTATCAACTATCAAAGATAAAAGTTACTTTCCATGCGTTGTTTTGATGAGCGAACAGCCGGCTAGCAAGTGCTAAGCATTACTTGATAATCATATTTTTAAAAAAAAGTGAAATAACTGGAATGCAAGTTAATAAATATCTTTTATGTGATGTTTATTTCTTTCAAAGTCCGTTTTGCACAGATCTGTTCCTCAATTGAAATAAACGTAGAAATGTGATTGGTTGTTGACATCTGAAGAGAAGAGTTCTGTCGTCAGGGTTTTCTTTCCAAAGTCTAACTGTCCTGTTTTTGGTTGTGAAGCTGCTTCATCTGGTGTGTTGTGCTGCTCATTCTGTGCGTGATGGAGTTTATACATTTGAGCCCCTGTAATATTGAGACATCACCTATGAGACATTAGGAGAGATTGTACTTGGACCACAGCTGAAGTATGAGACAGGCTCTGGGTTAAAAAAAAACAGGAAATGATTTTCATTTGTAACTCATCATCATCTTTAGACGGTCTGTGCCTGAGTGTGTGTGTGTGTGTGTGTGTTTCACGTTTGTACCGTGCAGCAGCTTTCTGATCACTCTTCTTGATGCACTCCCTCCTCCCACTCCCCCAGTGTGGTGACGAACCGCAGGACTGCAATAAAGCTTTTTGCACATACATGTAAGCCTTTGAGTTGTGCCTCACATCAGCAGTTTGTTATTTAAACAGGTTGTCTGTTTTTAAATGTATGAATTGACCCTCCCAGCTCGATTAACACTAACCTGCTTCCTGGCCTTTTTATCACAAAACAGACGCTGTGTGATCCACAGAGGTCAAAAAACCAAATTCAATCAAACTAAATTTGAAATAAGTGTAATATACTTCTGTGTAATGATCTGTTTTGATTTTTTCTGGATGTCTTAATTTCTTGGGTTGTGTTTGTTTTGCATCGTCTTTTCTTTTCCTCAAGAGACCCGTAACTGTAGAGGACTGATAGACACACATGGAGACGACAGAGGGTCGCCATGCAACTGTATCTCACTTGAAATGTATATAAACGATGGTTTTATTAAAATAAAGAGCTGTACATATTTAACCAGGAGCTGTTCTGTGTGTCTTCACTCACATTTCATGTAAAAACTAGAATCACCGCCTCACGGTTGTTTCCTCCACAAACCAGTCAGGTTGCAGGAAATATGGTCACAGTCTCTCCTTCCTGAGTTATAGCGTTTAAGCAGAGGTGTTTTTGCAGAGCATTATGATGTCACAGTGAAGTTGACCTTTGACCATCTGGATATAAAATGTCATCACCTCATTTTGTCCTTATAGACATTTGAGTTGAATTGTGTCATAAGTAGTGAATGAATTCTTGAGTTATCAGTGGTAATGAAATTCCCTCTGGGTGTTCCTCATGTATTGCATTCACAAGAACGTGTGATTACTGTGACCTTGAACTTTGACCAGCAAAATCTAATCAGTTCATCTTTAAGTAAAAGTGAATGTTTGTGCCAAATCTAAACAAATTCCCTCTGTGATTTGTGAGGTAATCGTGACATTGACCTTTGACCTTTGACCTTTGTCCACCAAAATCTAATCAGTTCATCCTTGAGTCCTAGTGAATGTGTGTGCCATATTTGAAGGAATTCCTTCACGGGATTACAGAGATATCGCCTCTACACGTATGGGACGGACAGACAACCTGAAAACAAAATGCCATGTCCTTTATTTTTAGCAGCCATATGTAACTTTTCCTCATCAAAACGTCTAGAAATGACTAGACCTGTGTTAAATGTTTTGTTGAGTTGTGCTAGTTTTAAGCGACATTTTTACAACTGAATTTCAGATCTGTTTTCAGCTCTATATTTGAACCAGATGAAGGATTTTAGTCATCGGACGTCTGGATCTGAAGAGCTGGCTGCCCCGGACCTAAAGGACTCTCAGACTGTGAGAAACAAAAGATTCAACTGTTTGGCCTCAGTTCTGAGGCGTCATGTCTGGAGGAAACCAGGCGCCGCTCATCACCTGCCGAGCACCGTCCCAACGGTGAAGCATGGCGGAGGCAGCATCAGGCTGTGGGGGTGGTTTTTGGACATGGACAGATAGACGTGGAAGCTGAACGAGAGGTTTGAAAATGTCTGTCCACTGACATCCCCGTCCGAACCCGACAGAGCCTGAGAGGATCTGCAAATCCAGCAAAGCTCGCCTCGTCCTACCAGAGAAAGACCTGAGCCTGTAATCGCTGCCAATGGTGCTTGAACTAAATCCTGATGTCAGATCTTCACACTGACCAGATCTCAACACAATGGAACACCTGTGTGAGAATGGTGTTCATCCCTCCAGTAGAGTTCAGAGAATTGTATAATCATCTCTCTCTCTCTCTCTCTCTATCTCTCTCTCTCTCTCTCTATATTATATATATAATATTATATATTATATATATTACACTACCGTTCAAAAGTTTGGGGTCACCAGACAATTCTGTGTTTTCCATGAATTACCCCACGCTTCAGAAGCCCTCCACAAGTTGGATGGCTTGATGGGCACTTCTTGCGTACCATACGGTCAAGCTGCTCCCACAACAGCTCAATGGGTTTAGATCTGTGGACTGCGCCGCCGCTCCATTACAGATAGAATACCAGCTGCCTGCTTCTTCCTAAATATTTCTTGCATTAATTTGGAGGTGTGCTTTGGGTCATTGTCCTGTTGTAGGAGGACACTGGCTCAATCAAGCGCTGTCCACAGGGTATGGCATGGCGTTGCAAAAATGGAGTGATAGCCTTCCTTATTTCAAAATCCTTTTACCTTGTACAAATCTCCCACTTTTACCAGCACCAAAGCAACCCCAGACCATCACATTACCTCCACCATGCTGACAGATGGCGTCAACTCTTCCAGCATCTTTTCAGTTGTTCTGCGTCTCACAAATGTTCTTCTGTGTGGATCCAAACACCTCAAACTTTGATTCGTTCTGTCGCATAAACTTTTTTCCAATCTTCTCTGTCCAATGTCTGTGTTCTTTTGCCCATATTAATCTTTTCCTTTTATTGGCCATCCAGATATGGCTTTTCTTTGCCACTTCCCTGAAGGCCAGCATCCGGAGTCGCCTCTTCACTGAGACGTTGACACTGGCGTTTTGCGGTATAATCTTTAATGAAGCTGCCAGTTGAGAGACCTGTGAGGCGTCTATTTCTTCAAACTAGAAACTTCTAATGTAACTTGTCTTCTTGCTCAGTTGTGCAGCGGGGCCTTCCACTTCTTTTCTACTCTGGTGTAGAGCCTGTTTGTGCTGTTCTCTGAAGGAGTAGTACACACCGTTGTAGGAAATCTTCAGTTTCTTTGGCAATGTCTCGCATGGAATAGCCTTCATTTCTAAGAACAAGAAATAGACTGTCGAGTTTCACATGAAAGTTCTCTTTTTCTGACCATTTTGAGAGTTTTAATCAAAACCCACAAATGTGATGCTCCAGATTCTCAACTAGCTCAAAGGAAGGTTCAGTTTTATAGCTTCTCTAACCAGCAAAAACTGTTTCAGCTGTGCTAGCATAATTGCACAAGGGTTTTCAAGGTTTTTTTAATCATCCATTAGCCTTCTAACGCAATTAGCAAACACAATGTACCATTAGAACACTGGAGTGATGGTTGCTGGAAATGGGCCTCTATACACCTATGTAGATATCATTAAAAACCAGATGTTTGCAGCTAGAATAGTCATTTACCACATTAACAATGTATAGAGTGTATTTCTGATAGTTTAATGTTATCTTCATTGAAAAAACTGTTTTTTTTTTCAAAAATAACGAAATTTCTAAGTGACCCCAAACTTTTGAACGGTAGTGTTATATATATATATAATATATATATATATATATATATATTTGTGTGTGTGTGTGTGTGTGTGTGTGTGGTGTGTGTGTGTGTGTGTGTGTGTATGCTTTGAGCTAACCACAATTCGATTTCCTCTGCATCTGCAAAACCGAGTGTAGAGGAAAGAGTCTGACACCACAACCGACCAACACCTTTTAAAAAAAAATAAAAAAGGTTGATCTTGATAAATGTACCACCTCACCACATTTCTTTTTAGAAGCCCTTTACTGCAGTTAAAGAGCGGTCGTGTTAATATCCGTCATCTCTGGAAGAATATCAAGTCATCATGAGGACCTTCCACATCCTTCTGCTCTGCATGCTGGGAGCTACACTTGTCTCCCTGGTGGCCTGCAACGGTAAGAATCCTTACATTTTGATTTATTTCTTTTTATTTTACAATATATTCTGTGCTAGAGGTGCTTTCTCCCTGATGCTACAGTGTTTGACTTTCTTTCCTTCAGCTGCCATCGGTCCTGACAACTGCTGCTTCACTTTCTACCAAGACGCAGTGAAGAGGAAGCCTCATCAGTCATATGACGTGACTGATTTCCGTTGCCCGAAGACTGGAGTCATGTAAGGTTTTCTTCATTATGAATACGTTTTAACACAATGACCTAAATAAGTGTAAGAGTGACTTTTAATACATGAATATCACATGAGTTACACTTCATGGACATGCATATTTTGCACATCCTGCACACTACAAAGCCTAAATGTTCATTTTCTGTTGATATACACTTTATTATCTATTCATATTTATCATAATAAATCCTAATTTGGGTGTCTATATTCTACTGTTTTAATGTGCAATTGGCATCCTACAGAGCAACTGTACTATACTACTTTGCTATTTCTGTCTGTAATTACTTCATCCAGAAAATAAAGTAGTTTTCTCTTACTTATGTTCTCTTATTTACTTATTTTTTAAACTCTTTAAGATTAATATATATATTCTTAAATACTGTAAGTCATCAATATGATAATAACATATTCATCCTCTTTCTTTCAGTTTTGTGACACAAAAGTCTCGTCGCATCTGCGTGGATCCAAGTCTCTCCTGGGTTCAGGGCATCATGAAAACTGTGGATGAAAACTCCTTTTAAACCGACCTGCCAGTCTGGAGAACGTTACTGCTGTGTTTGTTGTTTTATCAAGTCAAATATTGTGAAAGGTTTGACATGTTTGCTACAATATAGGAATGATTTTAGTGTTCATGTGCAAGTAGTAATCAAAGATTTTGCTTTCAAATGGAATCAGTTTGAGCCTGAACTGGTGCAACAGATCCTTTGTGTGTTCTGCCTTTTGGATGCTTTGTATTATCTACAATATCATACAGAATAAACATCATACAGATACATTCAGTGGTGTCAGTGCTCTGTGTTGTCTCTCGTCAGTTACTTCTAAGATATAAAACAATGTCTGTCTCGAGTTGGTTCTAAAATACCAGAAAATAGAAAAAATAAAAACGTCGGTTCAAGAAAACTCTTTATGTTACAGTCCTGTAATTTTCTAATCATTTCCTAATGAATTTCTAAGATATTTCCTGATATCCTGATCATTTTCTACTAGTTATGGGCAAAATAGGACATTTCTTCAAAGAAAAGCCTCATTTATACATTGAAATTTCATTTATAACTATGTACGTCACTCGCATACCATACCACGAATACCATATTTGGACAGAAGAGAACATGTTCAGTACACATACATATTAGTATTTTTGTATTCCCTGTTGCTTAAATCTAAAATGGAGACTTCTATCATTTGTGGATATTTACAAAATAATAATAATAACAATAATAATAATTCTGGAAATATGACATATTTATAAAATATGTTTAATATTCTTAAAAAATGGCATTCATTTAGGCTATCATCTTTTCCTGTTGTCTAGAAATGACTAGACCTGTGTTAAATGTTTTGTTGAGTTGTGCTATCCCACATGCTTCCCTAAATTTTCAGTCAGTTTTAAGCGACATTTTTACAGCTGAATTTCAGATCTGTTTTCAGCTCTATATTTGAACCAGATGAAGGATTTTAGTCATCGGACGTCTGGATCTGAAGAGCTGGCTGCCCCGGACCTAAAGGACTCTCAGACTGTGAGAAACAAGATTCAACTGTTTGGCCTCAGTTCTGAGGCGTCATGTCTGGAGGAAACCAGGCGCCACTCATCACCTGCCGAGCACCGTCCCAACGGTGAAGCATGGCGGAGGCAGCATCAGGCTGTGGGGGTGGTTTTTGGACATGGACAGATAGACGTGGAAGCTGAACGAGAGGTCTGAAAATGTCTGTCCACCGACGTCCCCGTCCGAACCCGACAGAGCCTGAGAGGATCTGCAAATCCAGCAAAGCTCGTCTCGTCCTACCGGAGAAGACCTGAGCCTGTAATCGCTGCCAATGGTGCTTGAACTAAGTCCTGATGTCAGATCTTCACACTGACCAGATCTCAACACAATGGGACACCTGTGTGAGAATGGTGTTCATCCCTCCAGTAGAGTTCAGAGAATTGTATAATCTCTCTCTCTCT